CACCCCCTCGATCCCCACCTCTCTCTCTGTGTCTCTCTACCCCCCTCTCCTCTCCATCTCTCCCCCCCCCTCTCTCTCTCAGACACACACTCGCACACACACAAACACACACAAACACACACGTACACACCCTCGTACACACACAAGCAAACGCACGCGCACATACGCAAGCTCATTTTCCATACAATATTCTTCACCCGCAACACATGGATAACTTAACCCTGAGTACCTTTCTGTGACTCACTGACTTTTTGCCTTACATGTATTCTATCATTTTCACGACTTCTAATTTTCATGACGTTAACAACAAAATGGAAATTATCTCTGCGTAGGCTCATTAGTATAATACAGTATAAATATACAAAACGAAACACTGAACGTGTTTCATTCTAAGACGTAAATATGCTGTTTTTTTTAATTCTTACATTGATTGTGCGCGCGATATGCACCTCATACCAGTTCACACTGCATCTTCAAACGAAAAGAAGGCTAAATCTATCTACACTTAAATAAATACACGTATCTACTCGAGGAGAAAAAAATAAAAAGAAAGGTACAAAAGAAACAGAAAAACTGGCGGGGGTTGACATGCTACGTGTCAGAGTCGGAAGCGGGTTTCTTTACATCGTCTTTCTTTCCTCCCTTGGTCTTGTCTTTCCTGGGGGAGCGGTCTTCCTCTTCATCGTCTGAGTCCTTCGGCCGGAAGCCGTAATACATCCAGAGGTCAGGCTGTTCAAAACAAGAACGGGCAAGTTTGTTACAGCTGGTGTCTCCAGTTCTTTCCTCGTTTTGGACCAACGTTCTATTTGGTTTGTTTTGCTTGTTAGTCTATCTAATTGAAAATATTTCATGCTTCTTTGGAACACTTTATAGATCATTTGGCTAGCGGGCTGTTTCGATTAGGCCTTTCAATGGCCTACTAGGGCAAATAGGATAGCCTACAACATCCCAGCTGGCAGATGACAATACTCCATTTAAAACTTCCTCACTCGGGAATGGAATTCACAATATGTTCTGAATAGAACAGAAAAAGCCCTAACCATTACACCATTAATTCAGGTCAAGTTTTCTCCAATAGAAAAGTTTCCTTAGATTTGACAAAAGCGCTGTTTGCTTTGTTTGCTTTCGAGCTTATATTAACATTGAGACAAACAGTCTTATCGGAGATGGACGTTATACCAGAGCTCCCGTAACTTCAATAACCTTACGTTGTAGTAAAACAGCGTTTATCTCAATTCGTACATCACACACTAACAGATGTGGACAAAAATCTGTCTGCCAATGAGAGAGAAGAGACGTTTCAGCTTCACAAGTTCATTAGTGTAACCCTCTCCCCTTCCCTGGAAACCACAAAATCAAAAACCTTTTCATCTGCGAAGGGATAAAATACCGATAAAACCATGTAGCACTCGAATAATGTTTTATCATCATGGAAGGAGAAATATCATGTTTGTTGCTGACAACTTGTGTAATTGAAAGAGTGGAAACAGAAAAAAAAGAACAGAAAGGAGAAACGAAACAATAAAAAGTAAATTATACATGTACATGTATCGCAATTGTTCATCTGCGATCAGATGTTTGACAGCACTTTACTCCCTTTGGGGGACATGCCCAGAAAAAAGGAGATAACAACTGGCTGCTTTGACGAATAGAAAATGGTGGCCACTGGAGGTGAACATTCAAGTAGACGCAATTGCAGTACGGGAGCAATAATCGTGATTTTTCAATTATGACTAGACAAAAAGTGACACCAGCCAGTAAAAGAGTGGTTTTGTTAAATTGATCAAATTTCTGATTGATAAGAAGTGAGTTAAGACTTCAACCAAATGTGAACATAGGGTGCATTCCATTCAGTGATATTTTTTCGATATATAAAACATGCCATATCTCAAATTCGAATTTCTACTATCAATTATGACGGCATGTTGACTTTCCCCGTTGTCACAGTCTCTTCTAAATGTTTGCAAAGCTTCAAATGTCTCATAAGAGTGGGTGTCGCCAATCATTTCAAGGAAATCCTGAGTAGTCAGACATTTTTAGGTCGTATTTACTGCACATTACAGAAACAAATCAATGTCCGCTTAGCTCAGAGGACTATCGCTGTCTTTGTTCTCACAGAACTTTGCGATCAATAATCATTACGAAAACGTTTGTGCAATCATACAATATTCTGGTAAGAGTTAACAGAGAAGAAAAAGTGAAACAGACATTTGAAAGCACCAAAAGTGATTCACATGCAATTACCTTCATCGGTAAGAATTGCTGAAATCAATAAAACATCAATTATAGTTCGTCGTAAAGAAGTCATTTCTAAGACGGATAAGCATAAAATGTGATTTTGTTTCAAAGAACAAGTCAAATATAGAAAAGAAGTTAACTGCCCCCTTAGTGACATTCTCATCCTAATACATTGCATTACTGCTTTCCGGTTTTATTTTAGCGCGCGAATTGAATTAGCTATTTTCGTGATAAAAAAAAAAAAATCGCGAATTCAAGTCATTCTCGAATCATTACTAGCGGTAACTGCATTGAGCTACTCAAATTGTGAATTCATAATTATTACGAAATACGAAATGGGCTAAACAAAGAGAGCGAGAATAAACCCGGTGTACAGAATGTATTTGAGTTTTCGTAATTTTTCTCCGGAGATATAACAGAAAAGAAGCATCAGAAATGTGGTTTATAGGGAGACTGCAGAGAATTTCTTGTAAGGAAAAAGAAATCAAATTAAATGAGGTTGTACTTGAAAAAGTCCATGTAGGCTGCTCGTTGATAAAAACAATCATGAAAAGGCAAATGCAGTTTATGGGACGCTGGAATAGGCATACAGGCTTCATTTCACTGGCAAAACTGAAGGCAAACGAGGCAGGGGTAGACCCAGAGCAACTTAACTGGAGAGCCCAAAAAGATGGGCGACGGTGGAAAAGATCAAGATAATAATATAATCTTTTTAGAGCACCCGAGCTACGGAATAAATGGGGAACCTTGGTCTGTTACAGATCTGCCACTTAATGATGATGACAGTATGTATCTTATGTAAGTAACTATGTGTGTCATGGTTCCTGACTTACATCCGGGCTTTTATACTCCCACTTCCGCTCCTGGTGCTCCCATGGGCGTGGACTAGACTGCCTCGGGCTCTGGCGGCCTGCGCCCTTTGATCTTTGGGTGTCTTGTCCATCGCCCTGTCGGACACAAGCAATGAATGAAAACAGAACCTGGCACTACGTTTTGTATGCACCCCCCCCCCTCCCCCCCCCCCCCCCCCTCCACCTTTTTTCTATCCGCCCGGATAGACAAACGTTCAATGAAGTCAAATATACAGCAATAGTAAGTGAAGAACGAAATATTTCTTTTTTTGTCTCTGTCTGTCTGTCTTTCTCGTTCTCTGTCTTTCTCTTTGTCTCTCTGTCTCTTTCTCTGTCTCTGTCTCTGTCTCTCTGTCTCTCTCTCACTCTCTCTCCCCCCTCTCTCTCCCCCCTCTCTCTTTCGTACTCCTTTCTCTCCCCTCTCTCCTCTCTCTATCCTTTCTCCCCCATCCGCCCCCAA